TATAACATATATGTTTTTCAGATTTTTTGGATTTTTTTTTTTTTTTTTTTTTTTCCTCGCTCGGCCGAACGACCAAACGCGTCGAGAGGGGGTGTCGAACGTTCGGGCGTTCGGCCCGCCCCGAAACGCCGGAAACCCTGTATTTAATTAAGGCTCGAGTTTTTATTTGGGCAATTAAAAAAAAGATGATATTCGAAAAATAAATGAATTGAGGGGGAAACTATCCTAGGTATGCGGACTATTTTTTATTTTTTTTTCAAAAGGCGACAACCTTGGGATATCATCATTAAGCTGAGCGGCCCCAGGTAATTCAGAAATAGTTGGTCTTACAACTTTTACTCATCAACTTCCATCATTTGGATTAGAACACAGGTGTGTATTTTCAACGGTTCATGGGTGTACCCACTGAGCTAGGCTTTTAGGTCGGGCTATCCAATAGTATGATAGGGTAGTAGGGGAATTAAGAATTAGATGGGGGGGGGGGAGGATATTAGTTGGGTGCAGAGGAGTGGTTAGGGGGAGTCGAGGGAGTAGATCAGGGTGGGAGTGCGCAGTTGGGGAGGGAGGTGGGGGAGTCGGGATCGAAGGAGGGAGTTGGGGGAAAAGGAAGGAGGGGGGGGAAGCCGGAGCGGGGTCGGGGGGGGGGGGGGGGGGGGGGGGGGCGTGGGGGGTTAGGGGGAAGCGGGGGAAAGTAGGGGGGGGGAATAGCGTATAGGAAGTCGCGCGGCGGAACGGTGAGCGACGCGGGGGGAAACGGGTCGAGATCGGTCCGGGGGCGACGAAGAAAAAGAAGAGGAAAAAGAAGGCGGAGATGATGACGACGAGGAGGGGGGAAGCGGAAATGAGGACGACGGTGGTGGAGGAGAGGGAGAAGGAGAAGAAGAAACGAGGAAGAAGAAGAGGGTAAAAAAAGGAAAAGAAAAAAAAAGTTTATTGGTCACTTACCTGCACGTCGGCTTCGGGATCGGTGACGTGGCAGCGACAACGACGAAGGCAGCGAGGTGCTGACATGGCGAATCTGGCAATAGCGGCGACGACAGGTACACGGCGCTGACGTGGCAGCGACAACGACAACGAAGATGAAGACAATGGCAATGACGTGGCGGCGATGATGACGGCGAAGATGATGACGATGGCGATGCCGGAACAGGGAGGGAGGGAGGGTCGTTTGTCGCTCCGATACCAGTGTGACGGGGCTGAGGTAGAGCAGCGAGGTCGGGGAAGAGAGAGGGAGGGAGTGAGAGCACACACACACACTCACTCAACTTGACACGGACTCGACATGACTCGACGGACGCAGACACAAAGTGGCAAAGTCGCGAAGTCGCAATCTTGGTTCCGTACACGATGTCGCAGCAAGTCACACTGAAGCACAAGCACTGAGGCCGAAAACTGAATGCCCGAACTCAGCTTGAGTCCAGTCTTAAGTACCGGACTCAAGTTGAGTCCGAGGGCAGAAGTGCAATTTACCTCCGGGCTGAACTCAAAATTGAAGGTCTGAGCCTGGGCGCCAGAATGCCGGATAGCGCCCAAGTATCGAAATCCGAGAGTGCCAGAGGTGGGATTTGAGAAAGGGCGCCAATTGCAGAGGGCGCCAACAGTCAGGAACCGGAGATCAAAGACTCAAAAAAAAAAAAAAAAAAGCAGCCTGGCGGGTGGTAACCCGCGAACCAGGGATCGAGCCCTGGCTGAGTCCGTAACAGCGAGGGCAGAGGGAGGCGACGGTGGTCTTCAGGAGGAGGCGCAGGTGTGGGTGGACAGGGGATGACGAGGGGAGTCGAGAGTACGTACCTGGTGTATGTGGGAGGTCGGCATTGGTGTTGACGTCATGTACATTGGTCTGCAAAGTCGAAGTGAGCCTGTTGCATGAATGTAGGTAGGATAGGTAGGACGAGTAGGGTAGGCTGGGCGCTGGGCGCCAGACAAAAGGAGCGACATTGAATACTGCGTTGGTGAACATTGGCTCACGAGTTCAATTGTATTGCTCTTATTGGGATGAAATCTTGGTGCATTTGAGCTCTCTGCTTGTTACATGACTATCTGGACTTCTGCGTGATTTTGCAACTTGGTTTTCTGTATATCGCTCTCGCTCATATTCCTTGCAACTTGAGTTACTTAATTCAAAGTTCAAACTTCAAAGTTAATCATACTTTTTTCTTTTTCTTTTTTCCTCTGTTTCTTTAGTCTTGTGCCTCCTTTGCACTGTTTGCAACACTGCATGTCTGCTAGTTGAATGTGCTTGTTGATATCCTGCACGACAGATGCTCTGCTGCCTGAACTACAAAGTGCAAAGCAGGTAAGTGCCTGCCAACAGGGGCCCCCCCCAACCTTCTCCCGTTTCTTTTTTGTTTTTTTTTTTCCGGACATTTTGTACCCCTTGACACCGGTTCGGACTGTCCGGGTCTGGTGATGTCCGGGAGTCCGAAGACGCCGGGAGTCCGGAGACGTCCAGATCACCAGACAGCCCGGACCAGTCCAGACACTGGTCCGGAAGACAGTCCGGGAGTGTCCGGTGTCCGGGTACGCGGTTACCATGGTATATTTCCATGTTCAAGTGACAGATTCATTCCCATTTTGCTCATCCTATGGAGAGAGAGAGAGAGAGAGAGAGAGAGAGAGAGAGAAAAGAACAGGTAAGTCTCCAACCTCGTGGCTGACCTCATGGTACTTCCATCAAAAGCATGAGCAAAATCAAATGAATCTACCGCTGGAACATGGAAATATACACTGCCACGTGTCTGTGTATGTGTACTCGGACAACAACGAGCCGTGGTGGAAAAACTTCTGGGTGGTGCGCAGCTGTTTTCGATTTTCCCCTGCGCGTACGAAGTTTCTGGAATGAAAGCAAGGCGCACGCCATACTTCCCCCCACGTCCATACTCTTCCACCGGGTGCACAGCTGTTTTCGATTTCCCCTGCGCACACGAAGTTTCTGGAACGAAAGCAAGGCGCACGTCGTACTTCCCCCCACGTCCATACTCTTCCACCGGGTGC